TGATTTCGATAATTCGATCGTCAAATTGTTACACTTTTCTAAAGTTCAATCGAAATAGAATGCTAATTCCTTCATCAATTCGAGAATCTTGTACTTATCGAAATGATAACTCATCTACTTACCCGCCTAGCGATGCGTATTGTCTAAAATGCTCTACTTTTCTTAGTCATCTCTATAAGAGGATTCGGAGGTTATGTGAGATAATGATGAAATGAAACATCTGGCTGATTGTATCTAATATTATTAATGTAGAATATAATCGTGATCCATGTTTTTTGATAAGAGATATCTACTGATCGATATCTTAGGTCGCGCTCTCCCGATATCGATCAATTTCTTGCTAGTCGGCGAAATTTAGTCGCAGTTTCGAATGATTACCTTCGAGTTCGTGAATTTTCTCGAGTACAGCAATTTTGCCATTTTTCTCTTGTTCAACAATCAGTTGTTGTTCGAGTAGATCTTTCTCTAATTGGAGTTTGATTGTTGTCAGTTCTTGATATTTTTCATTGGAATCGCTGTACGTGCGCTCGAAGTGTGTATAGGTGTTTTGTAATTCCTGATTGAGTTTTTCCAACCGCTTATTCTGATCGGTAACTATTTGAAGCTGTTCATTCATTTTCTCTAACTAATAACATGAAAGAAGATATTGCAATCTGAAAAAATACTGTTTCAACTATACTTGTCGTTCGAGATGTGTAATCTTATCTGTCAATTCGCGATTTGTAACATCCACTTGAATTTTGCTTTGTTTCTCATATTCAAGTGCGAGTTTGATCTCTTCGAAGTTCTTCTCGTGTAAACGATGGCTCTCTAATTCGAGTTCATGTTTTCGTTGAGCCTATCAAAATAAGAAATCATTTTCAAATCATCAATGAAACATTTTTCTTGACAAACTTCTTTGAATTCTGTCGTTAAAACAACGTTTAATTTCTCAACATCGTACAGTTTTGAATTCAACAATTGTTCTTCTTGGCATTTTGCATTCAAATCATCGTGTAAACGTCTAGAAGTAAAATTAATACAAATGACTAGCTTGACTTGACTTGACGCATACCGAACACGGACTTCCAATTCAGCTTTTAATCGTTCGTTTTCTTGTAAACGTTGTTCAAAATCCGGGCTAGTGAATGTGGTTAGCTAGCAGTGAAACAAAGAAACAAATAGAATATTCAAGTATAAAATTTGACAATTACATTATTTGTCGTATGACGATCTAGAAACGGTCTAAATAGAAAAGGAAATTCAATGAAAGTACTCGTTCTTATCCAAATTTCCATGTAAAATGTAGATGAGATTAGGCAGCACAATGTGTTTTTTTTTATCTTATCAATCAAGTTTTGTAGGATACTGGTATTTTCGTAAATATCAAAGTTGTCATAATAGAATGCTTGACTATATATCGTCAATCTTTCCAATTGTCCCTTGACTTCACTGCGTATAATTATTTATGGGCCAAAACAGATTCTCAACGATCTGTAAATTCCACAGAAAACATACTGTTGTTGTAATGAGCTGATCATTCTGTAGGCCTCGATCTCGAATACCGTATTATCAATAAAAACATCTCGTGTGCATTTCGAAAAAGAGCTTGATCTCTAATTTAGTTATTTCAGAGGCTTTCCTTCTTGTTTACATAAAAAGTACCATATTGTCTGCTTCGCTGAACGCACTAATTCTGTTTACCATAACACGATCGATGTTTTTTTCTTCTCGACTAGATATCTGCTTGTAACCAAAACAACAATGTCTGTCATTGTTTTTCAGAAATATACTTTCTGCACGTATCCAGATAATAACAGTCTGTTTTCGTTTGGCTTTTCTACTCTAATGAATTAACGTGACAAATTATCAGTTCCCTGTGGAACTCTTATCTGATGCCTTCGAATATCGAGCAAACAGTGTCAATGCAATGCTTACTGTTGTTCATTGGAGAAAGAGAATCCAATAAAAGAGAGTTGATTGCCAACGAATGCTTTAGTAATTGTAAATGATTCTTCTGACGGAGTATCGATATTCTCGATTTCGTTGAACATGCTTGTGTCTTCATCACTGGTCAAAGGTGGAACAATAGGCACCGATGCTAAACAATAATATTTTAACGAAAATGCCTTTTTTCTGATTAAGAATGCGGCTCGAATACCTTTTCGTATAGTATCCCAAGCCCATTCATTTTGACTTGCAAAAAATGGATGTGCTTTCACTTCAGCGACACCGTTTTTACCCAAACGAGTGGATCTTTAGAGAGAGAGAGAGAATAACGCAACGTAGTTCTTACTTTATCAAAAGTCGTTTGTCTTACCTATCACTGAGAAAAGCACAGATCAAGGAGCGAGCTTCAGTTGATAATGGAACTTCTTCTGGAAAAACAAGATTTTCACGATGGTTCATAATCTTATGATATGTTCCAACTAATGATTCTGCGTAGAACGGCGTTTCACCAAGTAACATTTCATAGAGAAAAACGCCAACAGACCACCAGTCAACTTCACGTCCATAAACACCAGTTGTATTTTGAGATTTTAGAATTTCCGGACTGATATAATCTGGTGTACCAACAGCAGTATCAGATCGAACTAAACCATCCTATAAATTCGGATTAATAGACATTTAAAAGACGAACATCTTCTATTTTACTTTGTCCATTTTTATACAAGTACCGAAATCGGCCAATTTCAAATGTCCATGACCATCAAGTAACATATTGTCAGGTTTAATGTCTCTGACAAAACATAAAATATAATGAAATCTTGACAATAAAACTTTTGACTTAATTACCGATGAATGTAACCGAGAGTATGAATTGCATCTACTGCTAAGACTACTTCAGCACAATAGAATCGAGCGGAACTTTCACTTATTTCATAACGTTCAAGCAGAGTTATTAAATCACCACCGGGCATGTACTCCATAATCATATATAACTAGAATACAAAACAATTTTCCTATGTATCAACGAATATTCTGTAAGAAAAGTTCATAATTTCGTATTATTGTACTTTGGAAAGTCCAAATTCTTGGCATATCTTACATTTTTCGCATCTTGAAACGCATAGTAAAGTTTCACGATCCAATCACTGTTTGAAAAAGCCATAATATTTCGTTCTTCCCAAAAGAAAGCACTATCAGAGCGCTTCAACTAAATATAACATATAACAAAGAGCATTGATAAGATGGGATCAAGTTTACAATGGAGACGAAAACAAAGTTTTTACCATTTCAAATTTGCTTAATGTCTTCATCGCATAAACTTGTCCAGATGGTTTCTGTCGTACGAGATCAACGGTACCGAATGCACCACGACCGATGATTTTCAATGTTTCGAAATCATCAAAGTTGACTCTTTTCTCCCGAATTTCCCTCGTTGGTGCATGAACTACAAATAATGACATTTCAAAGAAACCTGCTGGGAATCACGGCATCCACTTACATTTTGAGAAGAATGTATCGAAATTCTTCGTCTTCTTGAGACCTTCAGAATCATACGTTAGTGCAATAAGAGAGTCGAGAAGACTATCAATAGATATGGACGAACGTGGATCGACAATACGTTCTTCAAGTTGACGTGTACGTTGCGTTAACTCTTTGCTTGACGTCGCCATTTGATTAACCATACTATTTCACGAGTATTAAATATTATTCATGATTGAGTATCTATGATACCGTTTAGTCTTGCACATTTACTCATCATGGGAGAGAGAAAATCTAGAAAGAAAACAAGCATGTACTTTACTGATATCTAATCAAAGGAATTTGATTAAATCAACAAAGGAGCGGCGACGTAGAAGGATGAAAAAACAACAAACTCATACTCTCTGCCTACACTAAAACAAACAAGTAGGCAACACTAAATATATAGTGATATATCATATATATATTATATGACTCAATTTAATATCTAGTCAAACGTCAAGTGGATAATTTAGAATAGCCAATAGTAAAACAGTTCTAATAATTACGATCTAATGACATCTACTACTCGTTAGAAATAGCACTAAGTAGGAACACGCCAAGCGATCATCGATTTACGGATATACATAGACGGAAGAATTGAACTTGTATAGGATAATTGGAAAAAAAAATTCGCCGAATGATATAAAAAAGATATATTATTCATACTTCCGCACAACAAATGTTTTGAAAGATAAAAGCGGATAATAACTGTAGAGGCGTTTGTTGATTTCAGACAATGTTAAATTGTTTTCTACATGATCGGTAATAAATCGGACGTGTATGTGGATTGAATTCTATTGTCTGCTCGAAAAGAACATGCACTGCGTGTGCTGATTGTATACTAAAGAAAAACATGATTGACGCTGTTGTGAATGAAACCATGGTATGCAGCTCGTATAAGTCTATGTTGGATCATGGACTCATTCACACAGTGAGATGTCTCGCGGATTGACGACTTGGAGTAGTTGCATTGATCAACACTGCTCGACAGTTCATATTCACGTTTGCACACAAATTCGTATACGAATTAACAATATGATCAGTTTTCATTATGATACTTTACTAACTCTAGCGTAGAAATATTTACCGTCTGTGATTTCGCATGGGACGACAGCAGTTTCCGCGTTTCTCCTGTGTATATGAGAAAAAGTTGCTGGATCAAGTAATATTTGCGGTGTTGTTCTCTAATGTGTCTATTTATTATCGAATGTACATAGTCAAATAAAGTGAATTTGACAACATCTAATGCATTGTAATAAGTGAAGCTCTTCTTTTACATGTGTATATATTTATGGATTTTGTCATATTGTTAATGGTACAACCGTTAGTATAAGAGGAAAACGTTTTTCGACGTACTGATTACACTCTAAAAATAGTTCTCAATTTCATTGATCAGCAGCACGTACTCACTATAGATCGAGCTATTCCTTACTTGCTACTGCTGACAATTAGTTATTACATGTGTCGAATGATCGATAAAAATGAAATGTTATACTTTTGGTCGAAACAATATTTTTTTATTGATTAGTTATCTTTAGTCCGGTTTATCTTCAGAATTCACCTTGTTCTATAAGAATTTCTGGTAAACTGGCATTCCTCGTTTCATCCACATTAACCAGACCAACGGCTTTACTTCCATATTCATCTTCAATCATGACAAGGTGGGTCATACAACATATTTCTTCGTTGATTTTCTGCTTGTCAATTGTATCTGATACCAGAGTATAAATAATCTGTGCCAACTGTGGAATTGTTAAAACACCGATAACACACGTCAGAAATTCAATAATTAAACCTGCCAACGTGGCTGGTCGACTCGTTCCTTCTCCTAACGATGTAAACGCATTCGCCGATATCCAAATGATTTCACTCAACGGTTGGGTATGATTCGTATTATTCAGAGCAGGATTTGTTAAAAATTCGACAGGCGATGATAGTTGTTCAAAAGCAAGCAGAAATAATGCCCAGAAAAGAACGATTAAGCCGATGGATTGAAATGACTCATAATATATTGATAATCGACTTGTTAAGACATTCATAATCTGATAAGCACGAGCAGATATTCGAACACTTCGAAATATACGAGTGGTACATTGTATCACCAATAGAATGTATAACCACATAGGTGGAACAGACTAACAAACAGATAGAAATATGTTACTGACGAAATAGGCAACGAACTTCGTTTCTTTTACCCAAATGAAGAGAAAGAAAGCGATTGGTATTAGCGAGAGAATGTTGATGAGAATTAGAAACGGTGTCACATGTTGAAGTTTTGGCCGAATGAAGTAGTGTATACTGAGTTCGACGTATGAAAATAATAAAACACCTATTTCTATAACTGATGTTTTGCAAATGAGGATTCTTTCTTTAGCATCGTTTTTAAGAAATAGAATGTTCGATAGTTCGAGAAGTACAAATGATGTGATAATCGAAGAAATCGTTATCAGTCCACTGGTAATTCTTGTTAAATAGAAGCTTTTCCTCGAGATATCACTTGCGAATGTCGCCCAAAATGCTCGACGATATTTTCCTGAAAAAAAAACAAACACTCGCATGCGAATAAAATCAAGAAGCCTTTTTTCGTGCTCGACAATGACGTGACTAATCACAAGTTAAAAACACTCGAATCGATTTACATATTTATTACAACACTACACTCGAGTGACAAAACTCGATCAAATTTCTCGTCTAACAGTATACTATTACCAGAAGGTATATAATATTCAACGGTGATCAGATTTGAAATGATATCATATACCATTTGTATGTTAAAACCAAAAAATACGAGTTCATCGTAGAGAATTTCGGGTGGATAGTAGATCTCTGTCGATAAACATCCTTGATAAAGATAATAGGTAATTATGTAGTTGATTATTCCAGGTGTTCGATGAAAGTCATATTGTTCTGTGACAGGATTGAAATATTTCAAGCGTTGAAAAGGATTTCCTAAAAGTGTATGATAGTATTGGTTGAGTTGATGAGCATATATAATTATTGGAGTTTTTTCATTTGGTTCATTGATTTGCACAAAATCCGAGCGTTGATGTAAGTTTTCTTCTTGCGCCATATTATATATTCGAATGCGCCAAGCAAAGGTTTCTTTTCAATTTTCAATATAACAAAAAATGAAAGAAAAAAGAAAGACGAAATCAATAATCAAAGATGACGAAGGGTATGAAGGGAGAAGTTGTTTTAAGTCCGTGCCAGATGCAAGCTATACGGCTGAATAGTTTGGAAAACCGTCGATTGCAAATTCAAATCAAAGCTATGCGTGAAGATTTACAAACGTACCTTACTCGATTACATCGAGAAGAGCAAGGTTTGAAATACCATTTTAAAAATGTAGTTCGGGTGATTAAACCGAATCCAGCATATCAACGATGGAAACAAGCACACATGCAGGAAATAGCACAAGAGGAAACGAAAGATCTAATCGGTTCGACTGGATAAGATGTCTTTTTTTTCTTCAATTATCTTTTATTTTTTCTCATAGAATCGATCAAAATGAGGGCAAGAATCAATTCAATCAGTGGCGAACGATCTACTTCTTCTTCATCAAATAAAGCTCCAACAGAACCCGTCCGACCTATGCTTTTACTAGTTGATCACGATGATGAAAAACACAACGATTCTAACAATGGTAAAAGCAAGCACTTACTTCGACCACGTACAACACCAGTTCAAAAACGTTCCACTACTCAATCTCGAACGAATCCTTTGATAGCTCTGCTTGACGGATATCCGAGTAATTCGAATCCTGCTTGTCAATCACAGTCGCCACCCTATCTATTTGACTCTCCTTCGTTTAACTCATCAATAGGTACCATGGGTTCACGCAGATTGTTTCCCAGTAAATTACTCGATCAACAAAAATCAGCGAATATCGATGTTGTCTATCGAATCGCTTTGCAAAATCAGATCGCGTTCAAAGAAATTGACCAGAAAGTTATCGAAGAACGTAAATTACAAGACAGAGACTTTGCTTTACAGCATCGTGCACTCAAAGGCAGCATACGAATGGCTCGTCTTATAAATAAAATTAACTAGAAGTTTGTTTCCATCTCATCGATGAATGGGTGTTCTCTTTTTTATTTGATACAAAGTATTAAAAAATTGCGTTAAGACACAAAATACAAACGAAATATCAAAATTACTATGTGCGTCATATTATCAGCGAGATAATTAAGTTTTAGTAGCTTATTTCCTCATATTTCCTATTGTTCCATACTAAGTCAAGAGTTCTGTTCATTCATAATTGTTACACAGACTGAATGACACTTCTATAACATAGTCAACTCCTCACGATTGCATCATTAGCAAGATCAATGTACACAGGGTATATCTCAGACGAAGAAACATAATAATATAATGCTCACTGCAAGAAACAAGTTATACTCGCTGAGTCTAAAGCTTTTCTTTTATTCTAAGTTTTCCTTTCATGAATACATGTGTTAATAATTAGATAAGACACGCCTTTGTCTTGCAATACAATTACGAGTGCGATCTCATTTTTGTAACTACTTCAAAGACATGAAAGATCGAAATGAAAAAGATTCACGAGTGCGTACAAAAGCTCGATTGAATGCGAGAATACTGTTCGACATCGACGCTAAATGATTAAAGTTAATTAATGGCAGTGAGCTTCATTTAAAGAACTTACTAGCTTTGGAAATAGGATTAGATTTTTTTAATGTAATACAACATGCGTTCCGTTTCTAATTGTAGAAGAAAAATACAACCGAAGAATTTCAATGAGAGCATCTTGCAGCGAAAAATCATGCGCGTTCATATTCACAGATCTTTTAGGACAAAAGAAAACAGTAACTCGTCTGTTTATATTCACCACTCGCTAAGAAAAACAAGAAATTGTTAATCAACAGCAGATTTCTCTATACTTTTCTTTTCGTTGAGATTCATTGAAACTAAGTCAATGTATCACTTTGAAATTGTTCAATACATTGACCAACTAATCACTCATACGCATTGTATGCCCTTCGATAAGCCTAAATCTTTGTTTATCACGAATAAGGCGCAGTAGATGCTATTGAAAAATAATCGCATTAGTATAACGACTGTGTTTTTCATCTTTCTCTATCACTGCCTTATATTCTTCACTTCCATTTCATTCGTCATCAACAATCCGATGATTTGCAGCATCGCTAAATCTTTTCATGTTTGGGATTTTATATAAGTACGTACATATACTCTTATTCTTCTTTGTTGCTATTCGATGAAAGAGTATCTTGTTTCGATGCGTCGAACCCAAGGTTAAATTATCTCTAGCTGAAAGAAACGCCTGGATGCCAAAGAAATTTATGTTCCAAAGAGAGCTTTCAGTTGCTGGTGTTCTTTTCGAGGACCAGAATTCATTTCCAGAGAACATATGTTAAAGGAAATAATATTATTTACTTTCTAGGTCGTGCTCTTATTTTCTTTCTTTATTCTTTATCAATTTCCATTTGACAAAACATTCATCATGAATTTAACAATACTCATCAATATTCCAAATCAATACTCGTCAAGTCTCCGTCTGATTCTCACAATTATCTTTGTTATCATTACTGGAATTGGTTTATTCGGCAATAGTCTTGTTTTCCTTTCCATAATGACTAACCGATTGAAATTTCGTCATTCACCAACAAATCTTCTTCTTGTTAATATGTCTTGCGCAGATCTACTGATTCTTGTTTTTAACATCTTCGATATTGCACAGTTTGCACTGGACGATAATTGGCCAACCGCTTGGCATCTTGGTTTATCTATGTGTAAAATCGTTCGATTCATTCAAGTATTAGGCTGCTATGTTAGTGTACAAACGCTACTGATTATTAGCATTGAAAGGTATGAACGCATGATGAGCTTCAAAGATAATTTCATAGTTGTTGTTTTTCTTTAGATATATTGCTATTATTCATCCAGTCAAATCGTCTCAAATTAATCGTCATCGACGTGTTTGTTTCATATTTATTTTAATATGGACCATAGGGTTTCTTGCTGCTACACCAAATCTTTATCTACTACAATTACATTCGTTTTTCAATCGTTCGCATTATTTTATATGTGGTTTATCAGATGATCGAGCAGATTCACAATTCATTATGTTCTATAAGTATACCGAGTCCGTGTTCTTCTTCTTTTTACCAGCCGTTGTACAAGTAAGCTGCTCCTTTGCTGAATTGTCTAGTTTTACTGCTCGTATTCTAGACGGTTGCCTACATGTTTATTTGCTATAAAATCTTTTTGGTCGATCGCGTTGTTCAAGCCCACTCTTTCGCCCAGCACACACAAAAGACAAAGATTTCTAATGTTCATAATCAATATTCGCATTTCAAATTAAGTTCTTCCTTTCAATCGCCACTCAATGCGATCGTGTCAACAACATCATCACCACGTTCTCCCACTCATATTATCACAACGACAACTACTCACGGAAACATTGCACGTAAAAAAGCAGTGATTATGTTAGTCATCATTACTATATTTTATTTTATCTCATTTTCGCCAACACAGATTAATTTCATCTATACCCAAATGAATCGATCCCATCATCTGTATGAATATCGTTTGTTTTTCGTCATTACTATTCTATTAGCACTGTCATCAACTGCGATCAATCCGATTTTATTTTACATATTCAACAACTTTTTTCGGTATAAATTCAATGTTTTACTACGTTGTATTTGTCCACGGTGTCGTTTGCCATCGCACATGCATCAGAATGCTCCTATGATTTAATAAATATGAATGCTTTCCTGGTAACTTATGCCTTTTTACAGTTCTCTAACAATTATCCAACAAAAATCACATATGTACTACATGTCAGAATGAATTCCAAGTGAATGAGTACTGATGTTTTGAATCGGATGTAACCTAATTATTCGAAAGCGCCGAAACATTTGTCAGTGTGCTTTCACATGCACTTAGAGTAGGTTAAAATTCTACCATACATCGTTTGTACTTCTCTCGTCAGTCAATATACTCGGATAAGTTGCTGCTTTAAAGTTTTAAAGGATAATAAGCAGACGTTCGTGATGTATGCTTACGTCTGAAAAATAGAGAAGAAAGTAAACTTTTTTAGTATGAACGTCTCTGCGAGAGCTCTAATGTTCTCTCAAAATAGCAGCTGTCGAAGGATAAGAAAACTATTCGTGTTCTTTGATCCTTTCTCAAGATAGTTAACGATTCTTCGAAACTATCTATAATTCCCAATGGTAAATCACAATTTATATTTTAGAAAATTCTCAATAGTCCGCATCCTCAATAATCGCTTTCACAAACTTGAGATACACCATCGTTGTTTCATGTTCGCAGTGTACTGACAGTCATTTGACGGGACGTGAAAAGACATAATGAGAACTTTTCTGCAGTATGTTTTATTTCTAAAAATGTACAGGTGCTAAAATGGTTATAGATATTTTTCGACAGATTTCTTCCTGCATGCCAATAGAATTCGCACGAGTTGATTTCTCTTGAAGATCAAATATATCTCAAGAACAAATATATTTAACTGGTGCGAATTGAACACGCGTGTTATCCAACGATAACACGATTTTAATAGTGACAACAACTCCTTAAGTTACCACTCGTCATCCTAGATTGTTCATCTTCCTTAAATAAGAAACTAATTTGCAAAAATCTGCAATTCATCAGATGCTGACTACCGCGTTTGATGCAGAAAAAGACGTTCGAAAGATTTGCCATCAATAGTTAACGCCATCTGTGTGTTTAAATTAAATCCACAGTTGGTAACTTTTCCATATTTTACGTTTGATACAGTCAGTCAGATAGAACGAAAATTTAATGTAAGAAAAAACGAATAATTAAATAGAAACAATGCCATCGAAGAGAAAATCACAGATAAATAGAACAGGTGTCTATTATTTAGCAGATGAACATCGAAAACTGCATCCGGCTTATTCTCGAATGCACATTCAAGATTTAATTTTACATTTACTACCACAGTGGCGTTCGATGACACTTGTCGAAAAGAAACCTTACGAAGAGTAAGTTGATCTATATTTACGAAGACCATTCAATGATTTGTTTATATTTCTTTCTAGTTTAGCTAAACAATATAAACGTAGTCGCATGTTAAAGAATGAACATGTTGTCACACCGGTAATACCTTCAAGTGAAGAAGTGTCATTTCTCGAACAAAATAACAGTGAAAATAATTTCTTGGATTCTTATTTATCAAGGAATCTCCTAACAGTATTCAAACAAGACTTCTTGTTTATTAGTTTTCAAATCTTTTGTCGAACCGACGATGAAGACGGGGGAGAATATTATCCAGCTGAAGTGGCTATTATGAGATATTCATTTGCAGAAAATATCAAACAAGAATATTATACTATAATGAAACCAGAGAAATTTCCCGTCGGATATACCGGCACGGCGATTGATTTATCACGTGACACGCATCAAATTCCACCGTTTGACTTTATCGGAGCTAATGGGGACTATGCACAAATATGGCGAGAAGTTAGGAGAGTCATTGGTGGTAAGTAGAATCGTTCGAAGTTGTTTGTGGTTTGATTATATATTCGCGTACACTCTTCTTTGGTTTTACTGAAAGTATTTCTTAATTAGAGTCAATCGTCGATGCATCAACCATACAACCGATTGTAATCTTCTGTAATGCATTTGATCGCGCTCAGACTACTTATCTTCTTAAATGGCTGGTTTCAAAAGATGAGACACAAGTACAGAAACCTTCGTTTCGTGTATGCTCCTTTGAAGCTTTGGTCGCGGCGCTCCTTCGTCGACTTGGTATTGGTGATTTTGCTCATCAAAGTGTTCGCGAACAGCTACGTCGTCCTATTTATACATTGCAAATTAAAGATCGATGTATCTATCATGATTCTCTAGCAATTCAATATTGTTGTCGCGCAATTAATCACGGTTTCAGTCTTCTTCTCGATGGATTTGTTCGAGAACGTTTTATTCAAAAAATACCGGAACATGCTCAAATTAAATTAACTGAAACGAAATCAGTTCAAACGCTCAAACCTGATAACGTTAAACACGAAGCACACTCAATTAGTGATGACACCACAGCATCTGTTGATGATTCAATCAGTTCAACCTATCTTGAAAAACATCGAGGTGGATTACGTCGTTTAACACAGCTACGCAAAATTGAAGAACAGAAAGTAAAACAACACTGACGAAGTTAGTTTCATGAAATATGATGATTGCTTTTGTTTTCTGTATATTAGTCAAGTACTGATAAATTGCAAGCAATCGGTGCAAATGTATTCATTCAATCACCTTTGCCGAATCCTCCCAGCACAACGGTTCAACGAATGAGTGTTCTATCAATTGAGAACAAAGTATCTCGCCACCATTTTGTTTTACAGAATATCTTACAAATGCGTTTGTTTACCTTCTTCGTAGTTATCAAAAATCATCAAACCAAGAATCTTATCTCCAATTGAAGTCGATTGTCGTTGGCCAATTTCTTCACTCTATAACAACAATACTGATGACGAAGATCAATATGTGATGACCGGTCGTGGCTTACGAAAAGCAAATAGCTGTGTGTCGACTGCAGGCGGTACCAATTCCGAATCTTTAATATTCACTACCGGCATCGGCCGTGGACGTCGGCTTCAGCTCATTGCTCCGGTACCTGGTTTTCCAATGTGATAGAATATATTATTTTTGAAACTCTATTTAACTTTATTATATCTTTCATTGTTTGTCTGATAGTCTAGTCTAGTCTTTCTTTTTGTTTGGTTTGTATATGTGAATGCATGTTTGCAAAAAAAATCTATTTTGTATAACTGTCGGTCTATTTTTCCAGTGTAAATTTTCATTGACCAATTTTCATTATTTTCGTTTTTCTTTCTTTGATTTTGAAGACAAAAATTGGAAAAGAAAAGATGATATATTTCTCTTTTTTTTAAGACAAAGTTTGATATCTTAGTGTCTTTTGCATTTGAACTGATCATATATAAAATTTTAGATTTGACTTCTCTAAAGTGAAAGTATGCCAAAGCCAAGTCGGTCACCATTGTATTTCTATGCTGTCGAGTATCAAAGACGTCAACAAACTCACCGTCAACATATGAATATCAGCGAAGCTATTGCCGCATGTTATGACGACTGGAAAGCCCTCTCCGAGGAAGATAGACAGCCGTATAAAAACCAATTTCAAGAATGGCGTCTTCAGTCTCGACTGAATCCAGAATCTGCTCATGTTTCTCAGCAACATACAAAACCTAAGAAAGGAATTTCCAATGACAATGTATTGCAAAAACGTGATATACCGTGTGCTCAATTGAAACACCATTATGATCGTTTTACTATGGAACGAACTTTTCTCGCATGTGAATATCTACCATTAGATAAAAGTGAATTGTTGGCCATGCCAATTTATATACTTAATTTTCAAATCTTCTGCAAACTTGATGAAGAAGATGGTGGAAAATATCTTCCGGCAGAAATGTGCATTTTACGTGTACGAAATCTTTGTTAAGTATGGATCAATTATGTTTCCTTTTGTTGTAGTATACTTTAAATGATGGTGTAACAACGTATAAACATAGATTCATCAAACCTGAAATGATTCCGACAGGTTACATGTCGTCATGTCTCGAGCACGCAAAGGAAACACATGAAATTCCACTGAAAGATTTCGGTGAAGCATCAAATAATTACAAATCGATTTTTCAAGAATTGAAATCTTTTCTTACAACTACGACGATGAATCAATTATCTGACGGTGAAGATGAACGAACGCGTCGAAGATATTCTCGAATGATGAAACCATGTGTATTTTCTCCTGCTGTGGAGCACGAACAGACAAGTAAATTATTCGACTGGCTGCAAGAAAAGAGCGAAGGTAAAGTCTTCTCGATGAGAAAGAATATATCCTAACCATTTCTATCGATACATTTAGGGCAAAAACCAACGAAAGAGTCACGTTTGGTCAATTTCGCTAGTATTGAATCTTTAATCATGGTTTTAGCAGATTTGAAAAAACATCATGTCTCACGTGATGATATTCAGCGAACATTTGAAAATGCATCTTATTCCTATTTAATTGATCAGCGTTGCCCATATCATTCTCATTTGGGTATAAGGCATTGCTCTGTAGTGCGATGTCATGCAGCAGCTAAACTTATATCAGCTTATTTAAATCAATTATATGTACCGGAAAGACCAGCATCCTCCGTAGCTATGATAGGCAAAGCGACTCCGAATCCATTTGTAAATACTCCCAGTCCACCACCCACGACTGCAATGCGTACTGACCCTTATCAAGTACAACAGCACGTAGTAAAACAGTACGTGACTCTTTCGAGAAAGAGTAGTTCTTCCTGTTGATCAAATTCTACTTCTTCTTAGACCTACACTGAGCTTCCAGAAATATCATCAAAATCACGAGTCTTCAAGTGATTCTTTAGCGTCATGCTACAATCCAATTAAACATGAACAACGTCATAATTCGCATCAATCCGATGATGAAATTGTTCGATTACAACGGCAAAATTTTCACCGTTTACTTTCTGATGCTGAGTCATCGAACAGAGAGCATCGAACTGATAATCAACGTGATCTTCTAAATCAACATAGGCAGGTTTTACTTCGAGCACTTCAAACGATCGAACAACAGATCGAGGAACTTGATCTTGAATAATTTTAGTAGCTTCCATTTTTCTTCATTTTGATCAATTAATGAATTTTAAAAATCAATCATTTTACTTGACATTGTAGATGGCTTATCTACTTCGTTCTGCTTTGACTCAATCAGTCAGCAAAACAACGCGAACAATGTGGACGACAGTTCAACGAAATATGTCATCACATAAAAAAGAAACTGACGAAGAGTTCGATCAACGATGGAAAGCTTATTTTGACCGTCCAAATATTGATGGTGAGCGAACAAGAGAAGCATAGATTGAATTGAAAACAGCTTGTCGTTCTTTCATTGCAGGATGGGACATCCGTCAAGGAATTAATCATATGAACCGTTTAGATTTAATTCCCGAACCAGAAATCATTTCCGCTTGTCTCCAAGCATGTCGTCGTGTGAACGATCATTCATTAGCCGTTCGATATTTAGAAGCAATTCGCCACAAATCGAACGCTGTTTCTAAGCAAGTTTGGCCTTGGATTCTGCAAGAAATTCGTCCAACATTAGATAAATTAGGTGTTTCAACACCAGAAGATCTAGGTTACGATAAACCTGAACTAGCCCTCAAATCCGTTGATGATATGTAGAATGAACTTTTGCTAAACTGGTACATCTCGTGTTTTTTATACCTTGAGCGTTTGTTTTTCTAAAACAAATATAGATCCACTCCTTTCAGATCTTTTCTTTTCTTCCGAATAAAATATATAGCTTGTAACTCTTTAGATATACCTTTCAGGTAATCAAAAATCATCGATATCAACACGAAAACAATTGTACAGTCTACGAACTAATCAAACAAGATACGCTACCTCTATCGATGCATGTCGCCCTATTATAACCATTGATGTACCACTTCGAGCGAATCAGTCTTCTACAGGCGTGCGATGAAGTACGACGAGTGTCTTTTTCTTACAGTTTAGGGTAAGGTAATCAAATAAACAAATACTTATGTCTGATGTTAAGACTAATAACACAATTTATTTTTAATTCACAGTAATATTTGACGTAATCTAGGCTGCCTGATATTTAGAGTGACGTAAATGAATAATATAAATAGCACGGAAAAGCACAAGACTGACACGTATCTATCACAGAAACTCCTAAATTGATCGATGGAAATTAGTCATTCTATTCAAATGTAAATGTTCATTTTGAGATAGCTTTGAATAATTCATAGACGCTACTTTAACCATAGCTTTGACTTGTCGAACTTGCCTTTTTTCTTTGCTGCTCGTCAGCTACGTACCCAAACTACGTACTCGACGAACAGAAAGAAAGTATTTCACAGTAAACAATTATTAATCCAACCAAATGTGTTTTTCATGTTAAATTCGAAAAATCACGTAGCCAGTGAAAACACTGCATCGTGTACAATTTTTTCATTTATTCCTATAACCACGTCTCGATTTCGATTTCTTCGTGTAAGTTTTTTACTCCATGGACAATAACATATAGTGTTAGTTGTTATAATCATGCTTTCGGCGCGTGAAATGTGGTCACAAACATTATAGAAATTCTCTTATACAGCTGTGGTCGTCTGCACAAGAATTTTACATAGTTACATGAAACACTTTTCTTCAATTATATCGTCGTGTAAGATAATGCTTTCTCGTCGGTTAAAATATCATTTTACTTGCGTAATAAATGAGTGTTCTCACGTAGGCACGCTCGCATTTAACCGTATGCTTTTTCTCTCGGTGTTATATTAAGAAAACTTTGTACCACGAAAAACTCATCTTGCATCTCTCACGTGATGTGCTACGTTAAACGATGGAGAATTAAAGCGAATCCGCCCTATCAAAGTTTTTAATAGAGATGATCTAGAAAAGTAAGAAGCTACTCTAATTCTGATTGAAATTTAAATTGAATTTCAACAACGTTCATATATCTCAAAACTTGCAGTTGACGTCATTGAAAGACGCCCGCAAATAATTAAAGATTTTCTCGCTCTTGTTCGATAATGAGATGAAAAGTACAATATATCTTTAGCTCTATTTGCTGAATAGTTATTTATGTATAATATATATAATGAAAAAATTTTCATGATTCCGTATACATGCTTTTCTTTCTTTTTTTTCAGTTACAAGAATTCCGGAACGGCCAATTTTATTGTATTTGTAATGTCAGATGGTAGATAGATAGATATATAGTATACATAGATAGTTTATGAAAGAGAAAAGAAATGTTCACTTTTTTTTTGAAAACAACATGGATCATAACCGGAATGACAACTGTATTCATCTATAGATGAAAAAGAAAAACGATAAAAAATCAAAAAAATTCTCCGTGTTTGAAATGTATTGTGTTACACTCCACATACGCGATCGGTTGGGTCTATTTTCCGAAGTGTTGGTCAAACTGCTCATCACTTATTGAATTGCCATCGTTGTTATCAAACATATAAAGGAGATGTGTATCAAGTGGATCGATATATCGTTTCATAAGCGCGCGACCGAAACGTGGTCGACCTATAATCGCATAGTACTCATGCACCTTAAAATAGAAGACAGTTGTATGAGAGAAAGAGGAGGTTTTCGTTAGTGAAATACTTCTTGCAAGTAACGTTTGAGTTCTTCACGAGAATGAAACCGTTCTGGACGCTTTGGTGGTGCTAGAAATAGGAGGTTAAAGTAGAGATCTTTATTTTTCTTTTCGAAAAGATTTACGTGGAACATCAGTAAAACTTGAAACGGCATAAGCTATTTGTATAGCCAGAGAAAGAAATATGAGCCACGATATAAGACATCTGAGTTTATTGTTGATAGAAGACATAGTTCGGATGAAAATATCAATGTCGACAATGAGAGGTTTGTTTGAATAATGTGAAGATGGATATTCTTTGTTTATTGACGCGTACGGGACGAGAGAGGAGAAAAATGAGAATGAATGGATAAGAATCTAAAACTTCTCTTCAAATAGTGCACATCATAGATGAAAGAGAAAAGAAAAAGAAAAAGAAAAAAAAAAGAAAATGCTTGCCTCTTTGATTTTTTTTCCGAGAAGTTTTTACGCATGCTTAAGATTTCTCATCTTGAGCATTGCTTACCATTGTCTTATTTTTTTAATTAAGAAATATGCATGTTTTTTTGATTAATCTTTAATTATTTATTCAAATTGTTTATCGGGGGGAATAAGATAGCGAACACATCTTTTATACATCATTTGTTGTTCTTTATCATTCTGCTCGAAATTATCCAAAAACATTTATCACCGATCGCTTAGAGCATTTTGGTCGTCACTCATCCAGCTTTTCTCCTCTTAAACAGATAATTCTGATTTGACTTAAGTTGAATATGTTCATCTTACCCTCAATTAGCTGACCCTCTTACATTTTTAATCTTCAATTAAACTGCGCAAATATCTCTTGACATATCTCGATGAATTCGACTACAAACAACAACAATAACAAACTTTCTTATTCGCAATGACATTGAAACTTTTCGATGCATTACATATTCATTAAAATCAGAACAAATCTATCTCTGAAAACGATGATTGATCTGATCGTGGTCTCATAGGATATTCATAATAAATCAGTTTTATATGCAACTATTCAATATCTCAAGAGAGTTGACTCTCCCTGTAGAATCGTATAAGAAAGACTGAGGTTCGTCGCTTTATCAATGAACACATTAAGTTTTCTTCGAAAGCAAAATTTGCTCGCGGACTAAATGTTACTATTGAAAAAAGCAGCTGTTCTATAACGAATTACATCGTAATACATACACTGAGCCTTCTTACAACTTTGGAGAACTCTGTTTACTCTATGCTGAAGATGTTATTCGTGTTGAGGAATAAATGAAACTAATTAGAAAATCAAGAAACGTATTTTTATCCGTTATTTCTGCTCATCAATTCGATTCGATTTCAGATCTAGTCAGATAAAATCATCAAGATGTCATCCATATCCAAACGATGTATTCGTCCTCTGCTCAACTATTCTCAGTATATTAAATATTTCCGACGATTTGTTGTGACTGTCACTGATGAGTATCGGCCAGCAATAAAAACTCGTTCATCGATTAAAGGCATCGAACTATTACGAAATCCATCACTAAACAAAGTAAAAAAGAAAAAAAAACAGATATGAACAATGCATTGCGTTTGTCATTAGGGTATGGCATTTACGATCGAAGAAAGGCAAAATATGGGTATACATGGCTTGCTACCACCAGCAGTACTTTCGCAAGATATTCAAGCTCTCCGTGTAATGACGAATTTACATCGTGCGCAAAGTATAGATGTAAAATTGGTATTGAAACGAGTGTCTATCGGTAATTATTCTATAGATGATTTCGATCGTTACAATGAATTGATGAATCTATGCGAAAGAAATGAAAAATTGTTCTATCGAGTTATTGCTGGTAAGTGATATATTAATATTTGAAAGACGTCTGGTGTCTACTTTGTATTAGATAACCTCGAACTACTTTTACCGATTGTTTACACACCAACAGGTAAATCTCTTAACTTCTGATCTGATGACAAAACCGTTTTTTTGTAGTCGGCCTCGTCTGTCAAAAATATGGTTTAATATTTAAGCGGCCAAGGTTTGTTTTATATTTTCTGTTTTGCTACCTACGTAATTCAACTAAAAACTATTTCTAGAGGTTTATTTATCACTATACATGACAAAGGTCATATATACGATATTCTATGCAATTGGACAGAGGAACAAGTGAAAGCTATTGTTGTGACTGATGGGGGACGAATTTTAGGTTTAGGAGATCTTGGTGCGTTTGGAATGGGAATTCCGATTGGTAAACTACAATTATATACAGGTAAAGCTTCTCAAACATTGCACAGAAGAAGAGTCAATTAAGCTTACGCCTAAACAAAGGTAAAAGAGTTAAAAGTACATGGAAATAATCATGAACCCGACGGAATGAGAAACAAAAGCTCGCCATGTGTTAGGCAGAAATTAGCATTGATTTAAATGACTATCCTCTTTTGTTCTATACTAAAATAATAACCGTAAATAGCATTGTATATAAATATAACACTTGAAAGTCATCGATGATAATTCTGTCACAAACAATATATAAACGGAAATAGTCTATATGGTTTTTATTGACGTCTCCCTACTCAGTTGATCGAAGCATCCGTATAAAAATTTGTAGATATTTATAGAATGGAAACAATGAAAGAAGATTAATACGCGTATTTTTACACCTTCTAGCGATTGCTGGAATACCTCCACAAAATTGTCTACCGATCATGCTAGATGTCGGTACAAATAATGAGGTTAGTTATCTAGATATATAATTGAAAAAACAACAGAAATTCGTCTGAACCATCTATTTAAAGGAAGTTTCGACAAATCCTCTCTATATCGGTTTAAGACAACAACGTGTCAGAGGGAAAGAGTATGATGAATTCATTGATGAATTCATGGCAGCAGTTGTCCATCGGTAAAATTTGCTAGATAATAATTACGTCGGTTATCTTCACCTATCTTTAGTTTCGGATGGAATTGTCTTATACAGTTTGAAGACTTTGCTAGTGATAATGCTTATCGACTATTGGAAAGGTATCAAAAACGCTATTGTACATTTAATGACGACATTCAAGGTTTGACTGAAATCTGTTTATACTTCTCTTAATTAAACTGCAAATATAGGTACTGCTGCTGTTGTTCTTGCTGGTCTTATTGCTGCACTTCGGATCACCGGTACCAAACTATCTGAAAACACTTATCTCTTTGTCGGTGCAGGTCAAGTATGTTGAAGCAAAATCAATCGATGACCTGTCTATTTAATTTTCTTTATTGAATAGGCAGCTTGTGGTATAGCAGATCTAGTAACACATGCGATGATACGTGAAGGGGCGTCTCCCGAAGAGGCAAGAAGTAAAATTTGGATGTACGACGTACATGGTCTCATTGTTCAAGTAAGTTGCTCATGTCCTAAACAAGGTCTAATAAGATCGAAAATCATGGTGCTTACCGAATAATACAGTCCTCTAAAAACCAATAAAGATGAGAAAATGACGATAATGTTTTTCTTATAACGCTCAATTATTTCTTTTCTCTTTTTAATCGAGGGTCGACTACAAGGTGATTTAGACGGTCCTAAAGCGTCTTATGTCAAGAAAGGAAAAGCAATTAAAGATCTTTCATCAGTAATTGACTACGTCAAGCCAACAGTGCTGATGGGTAAGAATTAATCCAGCGAGATGGAAAAAAATTGATGTTTTAATCGCCTCTATCCAGGTGCTAGTGGTGTTGGACGTCTTTTCCATGATGGTGTTCTGAAAAAAATGGCTCAAGCTAACGAACGTCCAATTATTTTCGCTCTGTGAGACTGAAAAACAATCACTAATCATCCATGTATCTTTCTATATTTTCATAGATCGAATCCTACCAGTCGAGCTGAATGTACGGCCGAAGAAGCTTACCGTGAAACTGACGTAATTGGAATGCTTATTGTAAAATAATCTCATTTGACTTACCGAAAAATTTGATTTAGGGTCGATGCATCTTTGCATCGGGTAGTCCATTCAAGCCGGTGGTTTATAAAGACAAAACATTCCATCCAGGGCAAGGAAATAATGCTTACATATTTCCAGCAATTGCGCTAGCAACAATTGCATGTTCTGCTCGTCATGTTGAGGAAGATATGTTTTTAATTGCTGCTCAAGTAAATTGTAGTTCTAGTGTATTTCTCGGACAAGTTTATAAACAAAAAAGAGGATTAACAATTGATGAGAATGAGTAAAGTGAATCGCATGGCTCAAAAGAACTTCTCTCCAGCCAATCGTGAGATAAAAATAAGGAAATATCTCATTACGAATCTTTTCTTTATGAGCTCAACGAGCACAATTAAGCTTGTAATATGCTGGAAGTCCTTGATTCTCACAGAATTGACGGCTAAAACACAGCTTGCGTTTGCATAAGGCTCGACTGGCAAAGACATGTGAACAAAAAGTTGTTTTTCGCAGTGCAATGTACTAAGTAGCATTTTTCCTCATGTGTCTCAAGGTTTCCATTTCTAAAACCGAAAGTGATAAATCTCTTTTTTTTCTCGTTTTTGCAGCAACTCGGCTCATTAGTCAGCGAAAAAGACCTCGAATCCGGTCGTGTTTATCCACCTGTGCCCAGCATTCATGATGTGACAGTCAAAATAGCTGCTCATTTAGTCGAACATCTTTACAAAACAAAACGAGCATGGAACTATCCAGGTATAAGGTCACACACTACCTAGATTTTTTTTGTTGTGACCTATATCTGGTTATTTTTTAGAACCAAATGATAAAGAAGAATTCATACGTATGCAATTATATGACACATCGTATCCATATTTTGGCCCTTCGGCATGGAATTGGCCTGAACCGCATGATAAGGCTCGATGCATTCCATCTATTGATGATAATATTTCTCTTGGTTCTTAATTGAATAAAATCTCGTTCTTTTTGCATTTACATTGCTAATGATAATTTTTTTATACTAATAAAAACCTATTTATTATTCCAGATGAAGTGGCTGTTAGCCGTTTCGCTAGGTTACTGTTCATTTTTAATTCTTCGTTACATACTGCGCAAACGAATTCTTATTCGAGGAAAAACAGTTTTAATTACTGGTGCTTCATCAGGTCTCGGTGAAGCTTTAGCACGATGTCTTTTCAGAAGACAATGTCAATTAATTCTTCTAGCACGACGTTATGATCGTTTGGAGCGATTAAGTCAAGAACTGATGGAATCACATCCAACATATCCAAAACCAAAGCTCGTTCAAATCGACCTGTCACAATTTGATCAAATAGCGTCGTCGGCAACCTTGATGAATATTCTTCAACAAGAATCGATCGACTGTGTAATCAACAATGCTGGTATCAGTCAACGTTCATCTGTACTTAGTACACCTATTGAACTTGTGAACGAGATATTTCGTTTGAATTACCTTTCATTAGTTGCATTGACAAAATTAATTCTGACAAAAATAATCGAACGGAAACAGAAGAACGCAGTCATTGTAAATATATCAAGTTTACAAGGTTTGATAGCTGTACCTGACCGCAGTTCTTATTCAGCATCAAAACATGCTGTACAAGCATTTAGTGATTCGTTAAGAATGGAACTTCGAGAAGAATATCCCGAACAAAATCTTCATGTTTGTGTTGTAAGTCCATCGTATATACGCACGGAACTCGGTCAACAAGCAATGAGTCGTTTGAATACAAGTGAAAGCCATGCACAAGACAACCATTCATCAGCATATGAAGCAGATTATGTTGCAGAAAAGATTATTAAAGCAATTGAATACCGCGAAGATGATGTTATAATCGCACCATTTCAGCAGAAGATTGGAATTTGGTTAAGAAGATTCTGGCCTGAAGGATTTTTCAAATTGATGATTGCAAGAAATAGACGATTAAAAAGAAAAACCTAATATCCTTTTGGTTTCTATTTTTAACAAAAAGAAGATTAAAAAAGTTAATGAAGCTTTTTTCTTTTGGAAGGCACTGAGTTTATCTTTACTAAATAAATTCTTTGAAATTCATGTAGTTTATTAAATGCACACATGTTCTTCTGTCAAGTTAAGAAACATTGCATTGCTATGAATAGGAAAATATGTACACATATTGACATACAATGATCAGACACGAAAAATATGTCCGTCGAAACGAAATAATTACGATCTGACAATTTAGAATTCACTAATCACCTGAGTAATCTGCGAACACAATCGCTGTAGATCTTGACATTGAGCTGATATTGTTTGATTGAAATCATTGGATTTAGTTTCAAATATATCACGAAGACGTGATAATTGTTGAAGATTTCGATGTGGCGAACGAGAAGGTGTACGACTCGAGGCAGAATTGGATACTGTTCGTTGATGTAGTTGACTACGAAGATCTTGATTAATCGTTTCACTTCTCTGAAAAAAGTAATTTTTCGAACAACATAACATCAACGATTTTCTTGTCTCATACTGATAGACGATCTTTCAATGAATTAATTTGCATTGTATATCGTTGAATTTGACTTTCTAATTGAGAAATCTTCTGAAATACGTATGAAGAAAGACTATTTTCATCTGAAAAACAGTTACAAATACTTGTTCTTGCTGTTTGTTATGAAATTCGATGTCATTCAAACGATTTTTCGTTTCTTTCGCGTCATTGACTTGTTCATGATCAGATGAATGAGGAGTACAGATCTAAATAATTGCATATAACAAACTCTTTTATTCTTTTATTAAAATATTCTTTCATATCTATGTGATTCCCAATATACCATCACGTTCAATATACTCGATTGTGTGCATAAGCTTGACATCCGTCACGTATGTCAATCTTCTACTTGAAATTGAATGCTTTTTATCAAGTATGATAGCATAACAGTTATGCTCAAGGATTACTATGAATAACTATTGAGACTGACTTCTGAACGGCATATTCGATATTTATAAAATGCTATTATTTTACCATTTGACGTAAACGTGAACATTCTTCACGATAAAATTGTAATTGTCTTTTCCACTCTTCCACATTAGCATGACTTTCTTGTAATGCTGTTGTCAATTTAGTATTATTATTGCGTAAAATTTCCAATTCTTCTTGCCAAACTTTCGCATTATTTGAACTAAAATAAATAGCAACAATAACCAACGATGTTTCATTAAAATTCATTGCCTTTGAGCAAGTGCTAATTTTAGATGAGCATTCTCCTGTTTTAGATGCATCGAACGATCCGATCCAGAAGATTTAGTCGACCAATCAGTTTCCGACTGAAAAATGACAATGAGTCCTATTCATGTAAATTAAAGAACAAGACTGATTTTACTCGAGATATACGTCGAACATTGAGACTGTGACTTCGTACCGTATTTCTTGATGCTTCCTTAATTGTAATGAATTTGTTGATAAACTAATAAATGAAAGCAAATGGGAACAATTCTGAATAGAATCTGCGGCTTACTCGAGTTAGTTCAAATTCATTAGCAAATCCCAAGCCATAAACTTGATTCGCTTTTGAATCCACCCATTGACAAAATTTTTCGGATGTTTTAGTGAAATTCATTCGACTAGTTATAACTGTGTTGATGAGTATTTTTGAACCATCAACAGATATGATGCGGTAAACATTTTTAACTGAGTCATAGAATATTTGAACATTGACTAGTATTCAAAGCGCAAATATTGGTGGTAATCCAATCAAAGAATAAGGTTCTTACCAGCACCTGTTGATAACTGATTCCAAGATTTTCGTGTTTCGGGATCAACTTGAAATATAATGGCTTTGCATGTGTATAATGGAGCTTGCACACTAAGGTAAACGACAGTCATTTAAATCGAAAGATTTATTGTGTCTTGGCGCTTACCCCATATTTGTATTGAGATGCATATTTGATTATCTGTAATGAAAGAAATATTGAACTTCTTATCGTATAACGAACCGCAAAGGAGAAAAGATTAATGTAACGAAAGAGAAAAAGAACTTTTCGAACATACGTATATATATATATATATGTATGTGTATGTATGTGGCTGTCTAGCGTATTCAATACGTAAATAAACATTGCTTCGAGCAAGAACAGAAAGAGAGAAACTGGAGCTGAAGTGAATTGAACACTAAACGATTATCCATCCTGTTTTGATTGTTTCGGTTACGTTCAAAGTTAACGACCTGAATTATGTAATGAGTGACATCTGTACAGTATCTTCCGACAATAAATAAAGAATAAAAATATAAGAACTAGTTTGTCAGATCAAAGTAAAATGAAAGAAGAACATTCGAGTCTATTCAATTATATGAAAAGCACATTATTTGATTGAGTATAATTAACCATTCCGGAAAAAGAAACATTAATGATATGAACAACACAGTTTTTAATACCAAGAGGTGAATGAGTGACATGAAAATGAAATCTCGTGATAACATTGACATGCGATAATTGATGTAAAATCGCAGACAATGAAGTAGTGTATTTCAATACATGAATCGAAAATACGAAATCAACCTACAGCAACTAAATCGTATGATACACTGTGCGACATAAAAAATCCATTCTAACATCGCAACTTCTTATCTTTATATAAACTTCTATCATTCAGATGAAATAATAAATTATTCTATTCAGTTTACTTCCGAAAAAACAACTGTCAAATCATTTGGAACTGTTCTTTGTATTCTACGAATTAAAATTCTAATATCATCGAAAACAATATACAGATAAGCTGATACCATTCCATATTACATTCGAAACTCGATGACCTCCATAAAAAAATTAATCAAACACAACAAAACTACTAACTCCATCAACTTCACTAATCATATATACCAGTATCAACACTTACAACAGCATGACTGCATGTGTGACACTATAAAAAAAAACCTTAGAAAGACCAACTTTCGTACTACACCAAGCTGAATGAGACTGACGAACATAGTCGTCGATCTCATACATATTTATTCAAACTAGGAAGAAAACAAACAGATCTACCCAGTGCTAAAAACCGAATTAGTAGATAAATTCGATTCATTTCATACTCCATATGACGATGAAGAATGATTAAGACGGACTACACTCGCAGTAGAGAACGAATCAGCACGTGGATTGAATCCATTTGATATTACATATGAAATTGAAATGATTGTCGATACAGGAACTAGTG